TTTCCCTTAAATAAATAACCCTTTTATCATTCATAATTCTAAACTGGTGTGGGATTATTTTGTTATTTCTATCTTCATTTAGCACCTACGTGGTCAACTAAATCCACATATAACTTGAGAGAGCTTGAAAAAGAATTCTAGACCAAAAAAAAAAAAAAATCACACACACAGAGTTTAACACAGCTTCTTGCTGTTTGCCGGCAGCGTGCCACAGCTCCTTTGAGAGAGGTCATACTGATTCAGCGGTAGCAGCTGCAAGGTTTCAAAACAACAGCTTCCCAGCCATGGGCCATGTTGATAGCACCAACTCATCAAGAGAACATTGCTCCCATGACAGCAAGAAGCAGTTCTAGAGGATGATGTCCCCATCCCAAAAAAAGTTTGTCCTTAGGATTAGAAACACTGTTTAGGGGTTGTTGATTATTGCTTGTACTAGAGAGAGGGTTGGGGTGAAAACTATGTTTGTTCAAAAAAAGGGGGGATAATAACTGTTTAGGGGTTGTTGATTATTGCTTGTACTAGATAGAGGGTTGAGGTGAAAACTGTTCAAAAAAAGGGGGATAATAATAGGGGGTAATAGAGTGAATACTTGTGAGCTATTGTCAATGGATAATTTACATTGGTATAGTTGTATATTGATACAAGTTTGAATTATATTTGTTATTTTTGTTTACATTATTTGTACACTTATGCAAAGTTATTCTGTCAGATTGTATATATGCATGTTTCTACCTCTGTTTAAGACATTTTGTATATTGATACAACTTTTAGGATATATTTTATTATATATTACTCCTACCTCTGGCCAAGATACTTATACATTGTTTACATTTTAAGGTCATTGTCCTCATTTGCTTCACATTTGTTTACAGATTATTGAATATTCTGACATGAAGTTTTAGTCTTTAAGTAATACAGGTATTAAATATTATAGGTCACTGGTTGTTCATGTTTGTTGTACATACAGTCAGATCTGTTAGATTCTTTATATACATAGAGATTGTATTCTATCTAGATAGGTAATCTTCAACCACTTCAAGGATCTGTAGAACATGGCATTTAAATAATTTAGAATTCTGTTGATATGAGACATGATTGCTCCTGACAGCATCAATCTATTCCCAAGAGAATGTTGAGCACTGAAGACACTCCACTCAGGTTTTGTTTCCTTCTTGGCACCATTGGCCTTATGTCAAAGAACTACCCATACCTCAACCACTGACAAAGTACATGATGTCCAGAAATGGATAAGCAGGACACAAGGAAAAAGACTGTCAAATCTTGCCAAGACAGGGTAAGACAGTTCTGAAAAATTTCCTGCCTCTAAAAATGGTCTGTCAGTTGCTCTAGGCCTTAGCCAAAGTTGGTTGCTTCAACTTTGCAAAATGAGACTTTGGGTGATTGCTCAGGTAGCTAATTGTCTCCATTATATATTGCTTCCTTTGGAAGCTGCTTGATTGTACTTCCTGCCTGCTCAAGTAATATTATCTCCCTTTTCAGGCCTTTGATGGGGTTGAAGATTAGATAGTCATAGTTATTGACCTCTTATGATCTAGCCAAGCCATTTCCAATACAAGATTTAGACTCCTTAGGATAGGATGTTTATTAAAGCATTTAGTATATGTTCCTTGCTTAATATTTCTTATGCTGGTTGTAATTCTAATTATATTTGATATCTATTTCTAGTGTATATAGTTTTGTATTGGGCTTGGAACCCTCTTATTTAAACTAAAGAGGGAGGTGCTGTGGGAGCACATTTTGCTCCTTCAGCCAATAGCCTTTAAGATACCAGCTTACTTGGGCGTGGTCTCTTTTGCTTTAAAAAGCAGCGGTAGCCGTACTCTAACTTTCTTGCTTCTGGCTTCCACTTCCGGCTACTAGACTCTGTTCCTGTTCATGCAGAGGGCTGTCGTCTAGGACAGTGATCTGTAAGTTTTTCCCTTAAATAAATAACCCTTTTATTATTCATAATTCTGAATTGGGGTGGGATTATTTTGTGATTTCCATCTTCATATGTTACTTGGCCTTTTTCCTTTACAGCTTTTAATATTGTTTGTTTATTCTGATGTTTAATGTTTTGGTGAGGGGACTTTTTTTTTTCTCCCTCTTCTCCAGTCTGTTTGGTGTTCTATAAGCTTCTTTATTTTCGTAGTCATGTCTTTCTTTAGGCTGGGAAAGTTTTTTTTTTCTGAGTTTATTGAATATATTTTTTCTGCCTTTGAGATGGAGTTCTTCTTCTTCTATCCCTATTATTCTTACGTTTGGTCTTTTCATGATGTCCCAGATTTCCTGGATATTTTGTGGTAAGAATTTGTTGAATTTAATGTATTCTTTGACCTATGAATCTATTTCCTCTATCATATCTTCAGTGCCTGAGATCCTCTCTTCCATCTCTTGTAATCTTTTGGTTATGCTTGCATCTGTATTTCCTGTTCATTTGCCCAGATTTTCTATTTTCAGAATTCCCTTTGTTCGTGTTTTCTTTATTGCCTTTATTTAAATTTTCAAGTCTTGAACTGTTTGCTTCACCTGTTTGATTGTTTACTTGGGTTTCTTTAAGGGACTTATTGATTTCTTCTAATTTTTTTTTCTTTCCTCCATTTCTTTAAGGGAATTTTTCATTTCCTCTTTAAGGGCCTCTATCATCTTCACAAAATTATATTTAAGGTTATTTTCTTCTGCCTCTTTTGGGTTAGGATGTTCAGGTATTCCTGTTGTGTGATCACTGGGTTCTGGTGTTACCATGTTGCTTTTTAGGTTATTGAATGTATTCTTGCTTTGGTACCTACCCATCTCTTCCTCTGATTGGTGCCAGCAGTGTCTTTGCCTCTTGGTTGAATCCTTGCAATAGGTGTCTGTGTCTCAGGGATCCCTTCTTGGACTAATTTTTACAGTTGCTGTCTGTGCCCTAGGAAGCCATTCTTGGCCTACTCTGTGTAGTTGCAGTCTGTGCCTCAGATCCTCTGAGGTCAAGGGGGACGCGTGGGTGTTGGGGTGGAGTGGAATTTCTAGATACTGGGTCTCATAGATGAGGGGTGGGGGTTGAAGCAGCCTATCTGCAAGGGACTTGCCTGCTGACTGGCTAGTGAAGCTGTGGCAGGAAGGGGAGGGGTTTGGGGTTTTGTTCAGAGACCTAGAATCTAGAGACTGGGGTGTCTTCATGGGGAGCTGGTCATTCACCTCTTGGTCTGTTCTGTGTAGTAGCAGTCTGTACATCAGAGATCCTCTGAGGTTGCAGGGGGATGGGTGGGTTTGGGGGCTGAGTGCAACTTGTAGATTACAGGGTCCGGTTTTTGTTGGAGTAGCCTACCTGCAGGTAGGTGCCTGCTGCTGGTTGGCTAGTGAATCTGAGGTAGGTGGGGGTGGGGCCCATGGTTTTGCCCTTGGAATGAGGGCTTAGAGACTGGGCTGTTTAGCTGGGGAGGTGATCACTCACCTTTGGTCATCTCTGTGCACCCTGATCAGACTTTTACTGAGCTAAACTACAAAGTAGTATAAAGAAATGGCAAAGTACTGATGCAAACTAATTAATTTTGTTTTTATAAGTGTAACAAGCCTATCCACTCCCCTCACTTTTACCACCAAATTTCTTCCTGTTCCCTGGACAAGTGCAGCCTTTTCTTGTACACTCATTCAACTTGGGTTAGAGTTTATCCCTCAGCAACGACAGAACACAACATCTACAGTTAAGCAGATGTGTAGCAGTTCACTGACTGACCTTTAGCCTTGTTGAACATTGACTTCCCTAACTTCTAAGTCATTGTTCCAATTTTGGAAGATTTTTGCACTACACCACACGCTGATAAATTTATACTTACCTAATTTAGAAATGACTATGTCCACTCACTCTAGCCTGTCTCATGGTTCAATCAAATTATATTGTTCATATTATGTGGTTCAAGGTAAAAAAGGCCTGCTTAGTCTTGTTTATAGACACAGAGCAAATCCATAATACTGTCCCTACCCCTGCTTGTTTTCCTCTTGCTAAGAACCCAGAGGAGGAGTCAGTCACTCAGGACTTCTGAAAGCCTGTGGTCCATGGCTTGATAATGACCTATGCTGTGTTCAGGGATTGGCTCCTGCTAGGCCCCATCTCTGTTATTTGTTCTCATAATCAAACTTGAAAAGGAGAGTGGGGTCTAGAAACCTTGGGAACCATACCCTTCCCACACCCTCCTTGAGACTACATCCTACTTAGCTCCATTGGTTCTTTCAGCCAGAGGACAGCATGACTGGACTGGATTCTTTGTGACTCAGAAAAATTCTGTACATCAGATCTTCTCAGTCACCAATACAATATCTCCTATGAGCCACTGTACCACCAAATCAAAACTATGTGTGGCCTGTGTGCTCTTCTTTTGAAAGCTCCCTTGTGGCCAAAAACAGCACTAGCTTCCTTTTGCAAATATGTTTTATTTTAGCTGTAACAATACATTCTTCACTTACTTTGTAAGTAGGTTTCTCTTTGCATTTTCAATCTCTTTTCCAGTATGTAGGCCTTACCTGTGGAGAGCTATGACCACAGTGTGCACTTGGGAGAGGGCAGAAAACTGGTGCAGATGGCCCTTGCATATAGAAGTCATCTGGTTAGGGCTCAAAAGTGAATGCAACAAGAAGAGATGAATTTTGAAGTCTGAGTCTAGATTTCTAGCAGAATGGTGACAATGGTAATATGGTTTTTAAAGGCAAGAAGGGCTTTTTGTACTTGGGTATTTCATATGCCAGGGAATACTCACTTGGGTGGTGGGAGGCAATGAAGGCTCTTGTGGTATTTGTGGGTCCCAAACCCTTTCCCTCCAAGTTCTTAGAATGTGGCAAGTAAGGTACCCTGCATATCAACTTTCCTTTTCTGAGGTCGTGTTAGAAAGCATTAGAGCAAAGGGTTTTAAAGAGGCATTATATAAACATAGGACTGTAAGATTTCTACATAACCTATGGATTTTGTGTGTATGTGTGATTGTCAGGAGTCATTAAGTCATGTGTGTGTTTTTCTCTCTCAGGTTCATTTTCCAGACACTGAAAGAGCAGAGTGGCTAAATAAGGTAAGATTAGCATACTCCAAATATTCATTGGGAATTAGAGGGCTAGAACTATCTTCCCATGTTTGGAAATTTCAGTGTTGGTAGTATTGAAGTTCAGATTGGTGTGCAGGCTTCTGCTCCCATGAGTACTGTTGCAAGTAGTATGTGACTTTCCCTTGGGAAGAACAAGAGCTGTGTCACTGTCCTAAGAAGATTTATGCATGTACTTGTATGGCATTGCCATCTGGCTTTGTGTCTGTGTTTTTAAATAGAGGCTGCTAACATCTGCTTTATAGAAATCACAAGCACACATTCTAGAAATATTATAAAGAGAAAAAAATAACTCCCAAGAAACTAGCCATCTATAATACCTTTTAATGGATATTTTGTTTGAGTAAGCTTTAGGCTGAGTCTCTGTTGCCTGGTATTTTGAGCATCTCTAAGGCAATATAGTGACATTAGTCTAGACAGAAATCACCTATAGCCCAAGTTAATTTGTGGCTATAAAATGCAGGAGTGGTTACTGAGGTCCACACACAGTTTTTTTGTTGGCTTTGGTTTGGTTTTGTTATGGTGTTGAGATCAAACCAAGGGCCTCACCCAAAAGAAGCAAATGAACCACTGAACTACCCTCCCAGCCTGAGAGCTATGAGTTAAGTTTCTGGTTTTGGTTTTGGTATTAGTTTGGTTTTGAGACAGAGTTTCTCGGTGTAGCCCTGGCAGTCCTGGAACTCACTCTGTAGACCAGGATGGCCTCATACTCAGAGATAGTATACTTCTGCCTTCTGAGTGTTGGGAATTAAAGGCTTGTGCCACCACCACCTGGCCATAGCCTACGTCTTCCTACAGTCAGTTGAAGTCATGGGACTTTTAGTGATTACTAGATATGTAGGTATGTTTAAACATAATAGCTAACTAAAAGAACTAATTCTTGTAGTATATTGTCTAATCAGTAGTTTATTGTTGAAATAAATGCTTAGCACTGAGAACACATTTGACAGGACTGCCTCTCCCTTTTGTTCTAGTTTTCAGAGCCAGTTTCTGATAGATGACATGAGTTCCTTAGTGACTCAAATAAATTATGTATCATACGTCATAGCAATTATTTAACGTGAGTTTCTTTTCCTTCTAGACGGTAAAGCACATGTGGCCCTTTATTTGTCAATTTATAGAGAAGCTCTTTCGAGAAACCATAGAACCAGCTGTGCGGGGAGCAAATGCCCACCTTAGTACCTTCAGCTTCACAAAAGTGGACGTGGGTCAGCAGGTCAGTTCCTTCGTTCTTTAGTGCCCTTTCTCAAGCACACAGTGGGACTGCTGTGAAAGCATAGCAACAGTGTGACCACTGTGCAGGCCCTGGGGAGACTGTTCCTGAAGAAGACTGGAAAGTCTGCAAGGCCCTAGGTTCTTCCCAGTGGCAGGTCCTGGCTTTTCCCACTTGTTGCCTCGCTCTCACTGTGCTGCTCTTTATATTTTGTTGTTTTTGTTTTACTTTTTAAATTAATTTTTATTTTTGTTTATGTGTGTATATGTGTACCTGTGTGAGAATATGCCATACATGCATTCATGGAGGCTAGAAGATGGTATCAGAGCCTCTGGAGATGGAGGTACAGGCATTTGTACAGCCGCGTGATGTGGGTGTTGGGAACCAAATTCAAGCCCTCTGGAAGATCAACAAGTGCTCTTATCCCCTGAGTCATTTCTCCAGCCCGGTTTTTGACTTTTTTTTTCTGACAAATAAGGGGTACTAGCTTTAATAAATATCAATCTAAATATTGATAAAGTTGGCGGCACACACCTTTAATTCCAGCACTTAGAAGGCAGAGACAGGTGGATCTCTGTGAGTTCAGAGCCAGCCTGGTCTATAGAGCAAATTCCAGGACAGCCAGCAGTACAGAGACACACATGTAGGTAAAACCTCTATACATAGAAAACAAATATCAATTTGCTTAATAATAATTTTTGCCTCTCCAGATTTCATATGTATTATTTCATTAATATTTGTACAGTTTTATTTATATATTATTTAATAAATATTTTTCTTTTTCTTTTTTTAAAATTTTTATTGCTTTATAAATGATGCCATTCAAAATTTCCACTCTCTCCCCTCCCCCTCGCCCTCCAGTTCTAAGAGAGGGCAGGGTGATGGAGGAGGGTCATCTGTCTATGTGTTTCTTTATTGGTTAATAAAGAAACTGCCTTGGCCCTGATAGGACAGAAAATTAGGTAGGCCGAGTAGTCAGAACAGGATGCTGGGTAGAAGGCAGTGAAGCAGACGCGATGAAGCTCCCTGCCAAGATGGACGTAGGCTAGAATCCTTCCCGGTAAGCCACCACCTCATGGTGCTACACAGATTATTAGAAATGGGTTAAACAAGTTGTGAGAGTTAGCCAAGAAGAGTCTAGATATAATGGGCCAGGCAGTGTTTAAATGAATACAGTTTGTGTGTTGTTATTTCGGGTGTAAAGCTAACCATGCGGGAGCTGGGCGAGACAAAAAGCAGGCCTGCCCACGGCTCCTTCTACAGCAGGATACCGGAAGTCCAAGGCCCTTCCCTCTTCGTCCAGGCCTAGGAAGGTGAGCATCCAAACAGACTAGGTTCCCAAAAAGCCAGTACATGCAGTAGAATCAAAACCCAGTGTCATAATCATTGGCTTCTCAGTCAGCCCCCATTGTCAGCCACATTCAGAGAGTCCAGTTTGATCACATGCTCGTTCAGTCCCAGTCCAGCTAGCTTTGGTGAGCTCCCATTAGATCAGACACACTGTCTCACTGGGTTGACCAACTCCTCATGGTCCTGACTTCCTTGCTCACCTTCTCCCTCCTTCTGCTCTTCAACTGGACCTTGGGGGCTCAGTCTAATGCTCCCATGTAGGTCTCTGTCTCTATCGCCATCCATCGTTGGACGAATGTTCTATGGTAATATTCAAGATATTTATCAGTGTGACTATGGGACAAGGCCACTTCAGCACCCTCTCCTCTACTGCCCAAGGACCTAGCTGGGGACATCCCCATGGATACCTGGGATCCCCTCTAGAGCCAAGTCTCTTGCCAACCCTAAAATGACTCCCTTAATTAAGATATCTTCTTCCCTGCTCCCATATCTGCCCTTCCTCCATCTCCACCCTCCCACTCCCCCAAGCTCTCCCCAATCCTCCCCTTCTCCCTTCTCTCTCCCCCTCTCCCCTTCCCCCCATTCCACCCCTACCTCTCTGCTCCCAACTTTTGCCTGGTGATCTTGTCTGCTTCCAATTTCCAGGAGGATCTATATATGTTTTTGTGTGTGTGTGTGTGTGTGTGTGTGTGTGTGTGTGTTCACCTTATTATTTAACTTCTCTAGGATTGCCAACCATAGGCTCAATGTCCTTTGTTTATGGCTAGAATCCACTTTTCTTTTTTCTTTATTCTTTTTTGTTTTTATTAGCTATATATTTCTCTCCGCTCCCCTCTCTTCCTCCCTCCTCCCTATGAACCCCATGCTCCCATAACAAATATTTTTCTATATAAATCATGAATATGATTTCATCCAGATTTTTAAAATTTTCAGCATTTTCTAAAAATTAGATGAGAAAGCATTTCTTGATGAATATTTATTGTAGAAAATTTTATGATTAAGTAATAAATTCTAACATAATTATTTTGAGAAAATACTGAGGATTTTTACATTTATATATATGACAATTTCATGCGTGTATTATATTTTATGCAGTATATTGTACCATAATCATACCCCCATCACCTTCCCTTATCTTCTTCCCACTACTGTTCATCTCCTTCTTCCCAACTAGTCCCTCCTCCTTTTATGTTTCTCTCCCTCCTCCTCTCCCTACACTCCTCTGTAAGGGGTACGTCTGTATTTTGGCTTTTTGAGACAGTCTTACTATAAAGCACAGGCTGGCCTTTAAATACAAACTGTAGGTCAGGGAGATGTTTCGGTGATTCGGATCTCTTGCTGAGGATCTAAGTTTGATTCCTGTCACCCACAAATTCTCACTTATGACTTCAGCTCAGGAGATTTGACACTTTCTTTTGGCCTCAGCATACACATAAGTAGAAATAAGTCTTAAAGGAAAAGAAATACAGCCAGACAGTGTGGTGCACAGCTTTATCCTAGCACTCAGGAGGTAGAGGCAGGCAGATCTCTGTGAAGTTAAGGCCCGCTTGGTCTACAGAGGGAGTTCAGGACAGGCTCCAAAGCTACACAAAGAAACCCTGTCTCAAACAAAAGAAAATAACAACACAAAAAAGAAATGATTTGTCTTTTGTGATTGCATAGTAAATTATTTGTATCATATATTAGGTATTATTCATTTCTATTTTCTCATTCTATTATTTTTCAGGCTGCCTTGAACTGGCAATGCCATGTTTCAGCTTCTTAAATGTTGTGATTATTGGCCTGCACACTCAACTATATTCTTTTTTTTAATCTACTGAAAAGCCAAATTTTTGTGAAATTTCAAAGTGAAAACTTGTAAAACATAAATTAAAAGTAATGGGAAGTATTAATAAAGATAGAGTAGAAGAAGAGGATCAGATTAAATTGAAAGCGATGAGGCTATTATTACATGTGCTAACAACAGTAATACCTGTGTTTACTGGATACTTACTGCTAATACGCCTTGCAGTGTGCTTCTATTCATTATACCATCTGACTTCACAGTAATCTCACATGGTTGTCATGTTATTTATATCTTACAGATGAGAAAACTGAGGAATACAAGTAAATTGTCAGAGTTAAACAGTGTGCTGTAGACAGAATTACACTTGCAGTCTGATGCTGAACTTGCTCTTATCATATCTGTGCTGTATTGTAAGTTCGTTTGCTTCTAAACCTTTCTGTGTTTTAAATTAAATTATTTATTGTTTCAGCCCCTTAGAGTCAATGGTGTGAAGGTTTATACTGAAAATGTAGACAAAAGACAAATTATTCTGGACCTTCAGATTAGGTAAGTTTTTATTTGTGTTACATTTTGTCATGGCTCTATGTGTAAGGTGGAGGATATAATATGAATTTCTTGTCCGTTTTTCATTGGAATTTGACCAAATTCTTCTAAATGTTAACAGTCTTTGAATTCCTCATAATCTAGATAACTGTCATTCGTTAAATATATTAAATATAATGGGCCTGGAAAGATGTCTCAGTAATTAAGAGCATTTGGTACTCTTCCAGACAGCCTGGGTTTGATTCCCAGCACCCACTTAGCAGCTCACATCTGTAATTCCATTTCAGGGAATCCAGTGCTTTCTCTTGGCCTTCATGGGCACCAGGCACACACCATGGTACACAGACATACATGCAGGCAAAACACCCCATGCACATAAAATAAAAGAAATTTTTAAAAATGTACTGAATAAAATATGCTCTACATGAAACTATAATCTAAAAAATAATCCTTACGAACCTTAATATAAAAAATCCTCTACAAAATACTAGCAAATTGAATCTAGTAGCATAGGTTATATACCATCAAGAAGCAGAATTTATTCCCAGAATGCAAATGTGATTCAGGATATGAAAACCAATCTGTAAAATACACCGCTTGATTTTAAGAAGGAACTGGTGTGGCGAGATGACTTCATAGTTGCCTCAGTTGATACAGAAGATGGGTTTAACGAAATTCAGTATTCTTTCATGATTAAAAAAAAATCAACCTAGATAGTTAGACAATACAATGAAAAAAAGGCATCCAAATTGAATAGCAGCATTTACAAATGATGAGATCTTACAGAAAAAATCCCATAAAAAGTTTTAAAATCAGTTGTGATGGCATACGCATTCAGTCCCAGCCCTGGGAGAAGACTGGCCTACATTCACTCACTGATTGTGAGACTGTCTTAGCTGTGACAAGACACCATGACCAGCAACAGCAACTCTTATAAAGAAAAACATTTCATTGGTGTGGGTGGTATAGAGTCCCGAGGTTTAGTCCATGATCATCCTGACGAGGAACATGGAGGCATGCAGGCAATCATGATGTTGGAGTAGTAGCTAATAATTGTATATCTTGCAGGCAACAGAAAGTAAACCAAGACACTGGGTGGTATCATGATCATAGGAAACCTTAAAACCCACCCCCACAGTGGCACACTTCCTCTAATAGAGCCATGCCTACTCCAACAAAGCCACACTTCCTAATAGTGCTATTCCCTGTGAGAATATGGTGCCAGTTACATTCAAACTACCACAGAGACCCTGTCTCAGCAAATAAAATTTAAAATATAATCCCTTAAAGCTAAAATGAATTTAGCCAGGTAGCAAAATACAGTTAAATTCATTGCATTTCTATACATTACTAATGAAAACAAAATTACTAAATAGAAATGACAATTTTACTTGTAATAGGTTCAATTGACAGCTCCATTGACCAAATGGTTGCTTTTTTTCAGCCCCTAAAACCCACTAAAGAAACAAATGGTGGTTCATTTATAATCCCAGGATCAAGGAAACAGAGACAAGAGGATCTCTTATGCTGTGGCCAGCCACTCTAACCGTACGTCGCCCTGGGCGTCGGTGAAAGATTCTCAAAATAAACAAGGCAAATGGTTATTAGCAGTTGAATCCCCTTTTTTGGGCCTAGACTAAGGATAATTTTTTAATAATTTGTGAGTTTCCAGAGTATATTAATAATTGTATAGACCTTGTATCAGTTGTCTAGATTATACAGTAAATATACAACTGACAGATCTATTGGACAAATCCACAACAATATGATGTTGTGGAGGACCCATTTTGCAGAGCTGCGGGAGCACCTGTTGTTTGGATAAGTCACTGTCAATTCTGTAGAAATCTTCTGAAATTATGACATTTTCCCCTTCTATAATATCCCAGCAGTGTATAAACCTGACCTTTCCTGTAAGGCTGCTGGATAACTCTCCCTACATTATGAAGCCATGGTGTGAAAACATTCATTCAGCCAAACCTTTATTCTCATAGCCAAATCTACATGAAACCAGTCCCCCCACAACTTTATTGACAGGGCTTATTGACGAGAAAGGAGCCCCAAACAGGAGGCATTGAGTAGAGAGAAGTCTGTCTACTATAACAGCAGATGCAGCAAAGTGTAATCTGGCCTGTTGCTCTAACCTGGCAAATTGCTAATATTCTATACTTACCCTTCACCTTCATTTCAATTAATACAAGATCATAGCCAAGGAAATTAACTCTTTATACCCTTACCCCTAGAGATATAGGAAAAAAACCTGAGCCTCTAAAAACAGCCTTAGAGAGAAAAATTCTCACTTGGGCACCCTGCTGGAGTCAAAAGCGAAGCCTCCAAAGAAATTCTTTTTTAACTCACCCAGCTAGGTGCTAAAACAAATCAAGCACCTTGCCTTCCTCCCAAGCCCTCAGGTTACTATGGCTACCAAGGCTGTGTTCCCAGCCACCAGGGAAGAAAGCGGAAATGCTCAGAAAATGCAACAGCACTGCTGCATTTTTCTACAATTAATCATAAATTTCTACACTTACGATATGTAGTTAGTGCACAAAAACTTCTTAGAATTCTGTAGTGATTTAAAGTCCCATTCTTTTCTAGACTATATTCTGCTTTTTTATTTTGTTTTATGAGATGAATAAAATTGTAAACCTCTCATTTTAAGAAAAGGGAAAAACAAGGTTCAGAATTGGTACATTCCTTTCCTAGAACTCCCATGTAGCCCGATGACACATAAAAATAGCTTTTCCTGTTGGCAGTGGCCAATAATCATAAATATGGAGAATAGTGATCTGTCTGGTGTCTTCAAAGTTGCTCCAACTTCTGAGAAGAGCACTCTAAAGATTTATCCCCAAATAATACATTTTTGATAAAAAAAATAGTAAATTTTGACATTCCATGTACTTTTATAGAAACTTGTACTACAAAAATTTAACTTCAGATACTCCAGAAAATAAAATATGCAAAACTCATGCTGGATTTACTGTGGCATAAAGTCCCATTCTTAATCCTCCCGATATTTGCCAGGGAGCTCCACAGCCATGCCCCCTCTGAGACACAAGGCGCCTCCTTGCCAGATCCACGGGTTTTTGTGATTCTATGAAATGCATGTTTGATGCTATTGTTACCGCCTATGGAACTGCTAAATTTGTCTGTGTTTATATAAACTGAAAGCCTTGCGGAGAACAGCCTTTTCTTCTTCACCAAAGAATAAATAAGCAGGAGCAACGTCCTTGAGTCGGTTTGTTCTACCCTCAGATCTTTTCCTTGCCCCAGCCAGTTTTTGTTTGCTATAGACATCCTGCTCTGGACCCTGAGAGCTTTAATGGGTTTAACCCCAAAATATACCTCAATAATTGTCTTTTTAAAAAAAGGAGCGACGAATGTCTTTGATACGGGAAAATCTTCATCTCTAAATTTTTGATGCTTATGCAAATACCATCATCATCAGTGGAATAAAAGAGTTGGCATGGCCAACAGACCTGGGTATGAGCTCTGTGGTCGCCCATCTGTGTGTGAGGTTAGGCTGGGGACAATGATAAACTTCATGGGACAGAAACCTTTTGCTCATTTGTTGTTCTAGCATTAAACAGATTATTTTAGTGGTTCTTTGAATGAAATGCAGCTTTAGCAGCTTGTGTACTCTGCCGTTTTGTATGTTTTGTATGTTCTGGGTAAAGACCTTAGCACATTGGCAGCAGGAGAGAGGGGAAGCTGAAAAGAATCGGGAAATAAAGAGAACATGTGTTAGGCTTTCTGTTGGTTTAAAAGGGAAACTTTGATAGTTTTAAGGCAGGTTACCAGTAAATTTAGCAACAAGTAGAGAATAGTCCTCGGTGTGAGGAATCTGTATATAATATATATTAGAAGGATTTTGCTCAAGTGATTAGACCAGTGGTTCTCAACCTCTGGTTTGCTGCCAGTGGAAATCGTGTCCGATGGACTTAGGAACTGAGAGATACTGCTAAGTAGCAACATTACAGTTATGAAGTAGGAACAAAAATAATTGTATGGTTGGAGGTCACCACAAAATGTGGATCTGTGTTGTCACAGCATTAGGAAGGTTGAGACTACGGGCTAAGACCCGTCCTGATTTGATTCATCATATTCCCCAGGTTTATGATACCATACTTCTTATTTTATTTGTTTGTTTGGTTAGTTTTTTGAGACAGGGCTACACTGTGTTATGTAGCCTTGGCTCTCCTGGATCCCACTCTGTAGACCAGACTGACCTAGAACTCACAGAGATCCTCTTGCTTCTGCCCCCTGAGTGCTGGGATAAAAGGTATGCTCCACCAACACCCAGCTGATACCAACTACATTTTTAAGAACCAAGGATACAGGTTGTCTTGGACAGTTTTATGTCAACTTGATACAGGCTAGGGTAATGTGTAAGGAGAGAACCGCAATTGAGAAACCACGGCCATAAGATCAGGCTGTAGGCAACCTGTAGGTAATTTTCTTAATTAGTCTGGGAGGGCCCAGCCCATTATGGGTGGGACCATTCCTGGACTGGTGATTCTGGGTTCTACAAGAAAACATTATAAGCAAGCCTACTGGTAAGCAGCACCGCTCCATGGCCTCTGCATTGGCTCCTGCCCCCAGGTTCTTGCCCTCAATTCCTTGAATGAACTGTTAAATAAAATTGTGAGTGAACTAAATCCTTTCCTCCCCAACTTGCTTTTGGTCATGGTGTTTCATCATAACAATAATATCCCCAGCTAAGACAGATCAAATCCCACACCATCCCATGTGGAATGTATTGAATATTTCATGTTTATGTTGGCAATAAATGCCTGCTTTGCACTGTCATTGTATAGAACCATTTGTTTTATATGTTTGAAAATAATCACTGAGAAAAGTGAAATGTTAACAAGCTGTTTCTAACCTCTAACGTCATAAAGCCCTTTTAGCATCTGAGTGAGGATTTTTGTGACCAAGAAGAAAGCTGGTGAGATCTACTGCGGGCAAAATAAAGTCTAAATGAAGACATTGTTATACAAACAGGGAACCCTGATTGCTCTTTGGGCTGACGGAGGGGAACTTGATTGGGGGAGGGGGAAGGAAATGGGAGGCGGCGGTGGGGAAGAGACAGAAATCTTTAATAAATAAATTAATTAATTAAAAAAATCACAACCAATAAAAATGCAAAAAAAAAAACTTCCATCAAAGGAGTGCTCTACCGGCCCCACCCTGCATGTGGGCAGTTTCAGGAGAGCTGGCCCTGGTGGAGTGGGGGCTGGAGAGCTGGTCCTGTCCCTAGCCTGGGCAGGGCGGGAGAACTGGCAGGCTGACCAAGACAGCTGCCACCCAGGCCCACATCCAGGGCTTTGAACTGGCCCACCTACAATCTGTGTGCTGCTGGAGCTCCTGAAGGGGTCAGTCCTTAGGAACCAAAGTTGCAGGATCTCCATAACTCTGAACAACAGCAGGCTATCTGAGAGGAGTCCCAGCGAGGATCCGATATTGATAGTGTAGCAGAAGCCAGAGGCTTTGAAGCAGACCGATGCACTCATTGCAATGAATGTTACAAGTAAAGCTGTTTGGACAGAAGGATATATGGTGTGACACACCCTGACATACCACAGCTTCAACATTTTTTATCTTCTATTGGGAGGAGGTTTCAAGGGTGGAGCGCAGATATGGAAGGACTGGGAAATGAATGGGGTTGGGGTGCATGGTGTGAAATTCACAAAGAATCAATACAAAAATTATGGGGGAGGGAGAGGAGTACTCCAGAGATTGCACATTGTTATTTATGTTTTCCTTTGAAACTGGATGTTTGCATGCTTTTAAAATTTTTGTTTTCTGAGATAGGATTTGAGCTGTCATTCTACTTATACCTTTGAGTGCTAAGAATCCAACATATATTTATACCTGATTTATGTAAGGCTGGATATTAAAAGCCACAGCCTTTTGCATACTAGACAATCAGTCTACCAACTGAAGCATATCCTTATCTACCTTGTTTTGTGTGGTTTTTTTTGAGACAGGGTCTTACACAGTAGTCCTCCAGCTTCAGCCTTCCATGTGTTGGATATCTAAATTTAATTAAAATTTTTATGTGTAGCAAAAGCAAGAGCATATGGACAGTATTCCTCTCAGGTGATATAGCAGTGTTGAAACCTAACAGCAGTATATCCATTCAGCCTGGAGTGGCGGAGGAGTCTTGTAGTATAGGCTACATCTTTCAGTCAGTTTTGCCTGCAGAATGAATATGGTTACTTTACCCATTCTGTTTGGTTATGTGCTTTGCAATGCCTAATCTTAATAGATAGCAAAGAGGATAATTAATGTCACTCACTGTGTGTAATGAAAGATTTTTCTGTGCTAGTTTTGTAGGGAATTGTGAGATTGATTTGGAGATTAAACGATACTTCTGTAGAGCTGGTGTGAAAAGTATTCAGGTAAGTTTTTCAAATTTTCATTTTTAGAGTTTTTAAGGATATATTCAGAAAAAAAAGCTATGGAGTTTTTATTAAGTACAAAGTTTTTGAAGTAAGTTTGTATTTGTGCTTATAGCTGAATAAAGTGTTAAGCCATGTGCTAAAGAGTCACCAAGTGGCCTTGATGAATTATGTTTCCTGACTTGTGATTTCCTATGTGAGTTCAGATTCATGGGACCATGCGGGTGATCCTGGAGCCCCTGATTGGAGACATGCCTCTAGTTGGAGCTTTGTCCATCTTCTTCCTTAGGAAACCAGTAAGTAGTTACCTCATGATGTCATGTTTCTCTCCCTCTCTTGGCAGTAACGTGCATATACAGAAGGATAAAGTGAAAGAACAAGATTCTGTCCTTAACTCTTCCCTGAGTGTTTCACTTCTTTGTGCCTTAAGTAAGGGTGTGATCTTTATAGTCTTCCCTGAAGATAGAAATATTTGTGGAGTTGAGGAAAGAAATTTTTAACTAAATAAGTTGAAGCTACCTTTGACCTGTCACTAAGGATGATTATATAGCATTTGCTTATTTAATCCTCCTACTTGTAAAGCTAGATACTGTTTCCTTTTACTGACCTGGAACTGAACTTAAGAGGTCTCTCTGTATGAGTCACCCCGAGATTAAGTACTGGAGCTCTGACATAGACCCCAGTTAGTCCGAACAGACTTCTCTCTCTGATTCCCTTGCTGAGATATGTGCTTCTTCTTTCAAATGTGTTTTCTTCTTTTTTTGGGGGTGGGGTGGGGAGAGTTGTATTTGATGAACTAGAGGTCCAGCTTTGTATGTTCTGCTTATAAATGGAATTCTGATTGGTCTTGTAGTCCTTGCCTAAGGATGATGCTGTCACTTCATATTTTTAGATTGTATTTCTTTTGTTATTATTGTAAGTGCTCTAAAACAAGAAGGAAGCTATTTCTTACTCTTACCAGACAGGCTTCTTTCTCCTTACCCAAGCTCCTGCAGCCTATTGTTAGTGCTGTCTTCAGTGCCTTTTTTTTTTTCTTTAAATGCTAGGAATTGAACCCAGAGCTCTGTGTGTGCTAAGTTAGCATTCGGCCTGCATTTGAAGCCCAAACCCCCATCCTAACCACATTTCTCACTGCTGCTACTGGCACCAGCTACAGAGATGGAATGTCTACTGAGGGAAAATAGTAACCGTGCCTTTTACTTTTTAATTCTTCTCCTTTTCTCTGGCTATCTTAAGCCGCTTTACTTAATTTATTTCCAGAAGATTTCTGTCTGTCTTCCAAGACAAGTTACCTTGTAGTATTGAAAGTTGTATGAAAGTAAGCCAGACCCAAAAAGAGGAACATGGGATGTTCTCACTCATATTTGGTTTCTAGCCATAAATAAAGGACATTGAGCCTATAATTCGGGTTCTTAGAGAAGCTAAATAAGAAGGAGAACCCAAAGAAAATCATATAGGCATCCTCCTGAATATTAAACTTCATCAGGCGATGAAAGGAGACAGAGACAGAGACCCACATTGGAGCACCGGACTGAAATCTCAAGGTCCAAATCAGGAGCAGAAGGAGAGAGAGCACAAGCAAGGAACTCAGGGCCGCGAGGGGTGCACCCATACACTGAGACAAGGGGGATGCTCTATCGGGAACTCACTAAGGCCAGCTGGCCTGGGTCTGAAAAAGCCTGGGTCAAAACTGGTCTCGCTGAACATAGCAGACAAGGAGGACTACTGAGACCTCAAGAACAATGGCAACGGGTTTTTGATTCTACTGGACCTATTGGTTTCTTGGGAGCCTAGGCATGTTCAAATTTTCCCGCATGTTCAAAATTTATCTTTAAACAGATCCAGTTTGCTTAATCTTTATATAAAATACTATTGCACGTTAAAAAAAAAAAAGAAAGTTGTATGGCAGGAGCAGTTAGTGCTACAGTGAAGGGCACATGTGTCTCCACAGTTCAGGGAGGCTCAGTGAGCTGCCTCCTAAGAGGGACACTACCTATGATCCTTGGCAAGTCTTCTGGGAAGGTACTACTAACATCATGCACAATTTAAGATGGAAGGATCATTGTGTATAATTTGGCTGAAAAGACTTAATGAAAATTATTACTTGATTTTGAAAACATAGATTTAGCTAGATCAAATTAAGTGTAACATGGACACTGCTTCTTCTGCATGAAAATGCATCTGTTGCCTCCAGCACTGTTGTTCTCACTTTCTGATTTTTAATATGTTTAAGTAGGCCATTTGCATTAAAATTCAAAAAGCTATCAAGGAATCTGTTCATTTTTATTTTATTGAATTTTTGAGAAATAAGTTCGCAGATTTAAAATACATCTTTTTTTTCTCCTACCAGTTTTTTTTAAAGCCAGTTTATATAAGAACTGATTTCATTTATGGCTATTTTAAAAGTTATTTAATAAACTGCTAAAAAGTTTAATATTTCAGTCTTTGGAAATATTCTTAATATAAAGATCCTCTCCCCTGGAGTAACAAAACCAAGGTCTGTGTCTTCCTCACAGCGTAGCAGTGCTTTCTCATGGTTTGTTTCTTCCACCAATGAAGTCACTTTTTAAAAAAGCTTACAGTATTAACTCCCAGAGGACATTTGAATGCCTAGAACAGAAGGAAGAAATATCAGAATCGCCCTTTTCCATATATGGTGAATAAAACCACTGAACATGTTTTAGAGGGAAGGGAATTTTTTTAGTTACTTTCAACTGGAAAATATGAGAACTTACTACTGTTAGCTTCCAAATAATTCTTCCTGAGCCTGGTAAAAAATATAACCAAAAGGGCTTTTTTGTTTTACTTTTTTTTAACTGCCTAAATGATTCAGAGTCTAGTGCCAAAGATTTATATAAAATACTTACATGTTTTTCTGCTTGCTGATTGTTTAATTTGTCTTGATAATGTGGTTCTTATTGTGGAGGGAACAGTCCATGTGGAATAGTGGTGGGATGCTGTGGGGACAGGGAACAGTGCAGTATGGGTGCCAGTTGGTGTCTTTGCCTGGTCTCCTGTCTTCTTGCTGTGACAGCAGCCCATTCCATTTCTCTATCCCAGTTCCCTGTCTGTAACATGAGTGACACTAAAGTCTAGGCCACGATATCCATGCTGTTAAAAACATATTACAGTGCTGGCACACAGTAAAAAGTGAATATAGGCCTAGCATGTTAGTGAAGTTGTGACACTATGGAGATGCTAGAGTAAGGAGAAATGTGGATAAGTGTTCTGATGACCAGTAGGGATGAAGCTCAGTGCTACAGTTCCTTGCCTACCATGTGCCAGGCCATAGATTTGAATCTCTAGGAGCGAAAAAGTAAAAAAGTTCTGATAACCAAAGGGAGGGCTAGGAAGATGGCTTAGTAGGGCTTGCTGTGTACTTCACTGAGGTAAGGACCTGATCCCAGATGCCCAGAACCAGTGTTAAAAACCCAGGGCTGGGAGTTGGGGGGCACTGACAGGAATTTTTCCAGAGCTTACTGGCCAGCTGGTCTAGAAAGTTGGTAACGTGTGTGTTAGTTAGAGACCTTGTCTTACCAAGTGGAGAGCAATATAGGAATGCACATAATGTTGACGTCTTTCCTACACACATAGGCACATGTGCTCATGCATCCATAAAAGTGCATCCCAAATAATAATTTAGAAAAACCAGAGGACTTGTTTCTGTTATTGGACGTGTACAGGGCACTCAATCACACATGGTAGTTTTTGGATATGTTGAAAGCATACATTCTGTACGGTTTGTGCCAATGCAAAAAAATACAGCTTTTTTTTTTTTATTGAGAATAGGAAAAAAAGAAGTTTCCGCCTCCTCCCAGCCTCCCATTTCCTTCCCCCTCCCCCCACTCTTCTCCCCCTCCCCCCACTCCTCTCCCCCTCCCTCT